ATGTATGGGGGGGGGGGGGGCATTATCATACCACTTACCTCGTCAACGAAATTGGGGGTGGGGGGAAGTGTCCAGAAGCATAATTTCCAAAAAACATGCTGAAGCCTCTTGGCTTGGCTGCTCATCCCAAGTCATATAATCAGGATGTTGGCCGCTGCGCGCAACCGTAACAGCAGCCTTGAGGAAGGTGCTTCCTTCTGCTGCAAGAGAGAGGTGCTATGAGTTAGGACGGACTCCCTGGCACCTACCAACGTCCACTGGTGCCAGAGAGAGAGGAGGCTTTCTACTTCCCGGGAGAGTGCCAGCCTGGGAAACCCACAGGGACGGCTCTATCCCATCGGTAGGGTAACTGAGTCTGTACCGACTCCATGGCAGTGTGTTTCTTAGTGTTTGGCTGTTTTTATCCAGCATGTGGACGCGTTGCCTGAGACTTGTTGATGGGCTCCCTGAAAACATACCCCCCCACACACACACACCCCAATTCCCTGGATCTTTCCATCTGACCACCATCGTTCCTCTGTGGTGGGGCTTGGCCTCACTCTCTGGGGTGAATGCTGGAGACTTGTTGCCCCTCATTTCCGACTCACCTGTTTTCTTTTAGCCCCATCTTCACTGTATACCTCCCCAACCCCTACTTAATGACCCACCTCATTTCCAAAGACGTTGCTAACGACGTCATATCACCACACGGAGGCAGCCCTCCACCCCCACCCCCCATTTTGGAACTGTCAAACCAAACCACAGAGAATCTTGGCCCCGCCACACTGACAGGTAACAACCTTAGCCTTCGCCTGTCTCCCTCCCTCCCTCCTCTGCCTCCGAGTCCTGACCAGACATCAGTCACTGAGTGAGGAGTGGGTGTGGCTTCGTGTCCAGACACAGGCTCGTCCCCCAAGGACAATGGGAAGCCACACGATGGCCGTGCACGCTGACTTCCCAAGCAAGGGAGATGTGTTTCGCCCTCAAGGGGGCTGACTGTGGGAAGAGAGACTTGGAATGACGCCCCACGTCTCTGGTATCGAGTCAGACTGCCATGCGCAGCGGACACAGCCATTTACCTGTGGTTTTCACCTGGCCTGTGTCCCAACCCTGGCCAATCCCGGCACCAGAATCGTTCACGGCTCCTTCACCAGCAAACATGCCAAAAGCTTCTCTCTCTCGCTCTCGCTCTCTTTCTCTCTCTAGTATTGCCTAGCTCAGTGTAGGAACCAAATGTACAGGCGTCATTTTCTGTTCACATCACTCTCCTACAGGAATCATCAACTTCTCCTCTGCACCTGGACAAATATCTGTTGCTCTTAATGGCTCTCTCTCTCTCTCTCTCTCTCTCTCTCTCTCTC